AGAATAGAAACTAAAGCTTCTCCCACAAAGAAGAGCAAATATGCCTTTAAATGCACCCTGTGACTTGGTTTCAATAAAGCATTTAGTCTTTGTAATCTGGTGCCGCACTAGTTGGCACTCAAAATGACAACATAGGAGGTCCAATCTTTCACAGGAGCTGCAGGACAGTTTCTACACATCCATCATTCAGTCTGTTTTGTTCACATCTATCTCTGTGTGGTTTGGCTCTATAACTCAGGGCAGACCTCCCCTCCATCAGAGACCACTCATCTCTGCAGACCCCTTGCATCCTGATCAGAGGCAGCTACAGACTGCTTCTTATAAAACCAGCCAAACCGAGACCGTCTCTTTTTTTCCAGGATAACTTTCCGTTACACAAAATGAACACCTGAAAGCCTGAGTATTCCTCTACTCTGCTAGAACAATGAAGGCTTTTTGCACTATTACAATCTGCCTGTCCTTTACTATTTATATACAAAAAGCACACTTGTAAATACATACTATTGTTGTTTTTTATCTTGTCTTATTCCATTTCTTTCTGCAAACTCAGGTTGTAGTTTGTACGGATAATTGTGATGTAAGTGATGGAAAATGAAGGTCATATTCCTGATTTGCACACCAACTTGCCATTAAAGCTGATTCTATTCTATGGAGTGACTGACTTTATTTCATACTGCGACGCTTTGCTATCATCTGGTGTTAAAGCTATAACACAGATTTCTATCTTCACTCATTATAGAGCTATTAGCCTACTTTCCACTGTAAGCCTGTGCTTTGTTTTACACTGATTGTCAGAAACACCTGGGATTTTGTCAGCCTGTTGTCCCCAATGTTTGTGAAAATCAACAGGACGTTGGTTTGAATCAAGGGGAAAAAAAAAAAGGGGGGCGCCTGATTAGCTGAGTAAGACTAGCAGCCAGACCAGCCTGTCAATTGAACAGGGGGTCCACGACCCCTAGGGGTCAACAGAGGTACTACACGGGGGTCGAAAGTTTTGGTTGATTAGACTATTTTTATATTCCCCCTCTGCAATTTTTCCCATTAATTGAAATGTCATTAAATCCACATTAAAATGTATTCAATACACTGTAGTAAACAGATACATGGAGGCAGAAGATGTCTTTCAGTCATTAATGCATACATTCAGCGACACACAGGAGCTCTTAAAGCTGGGCACTGTTTCATTCACAACACCTGTCCCATCAACCAGGAATCAGAATCAGAAATACTTTAATAATCCCATAAGGGATTACATTACTCCATCTGTAATAGAGTGACTATAGGACCAGTTTGATATAACATAATTTCATACAGTATATATAATTAGGGGGTCGGTGCTCCATCTCGCCATCAGTTTGGGGTCCTTGGCCTGGAAAATGTCGAAGATCCCTGATTTAAAGCATCTTAAAAATACTTTTTGTGACAAATAAATTGATGGAAAATGTGATAAAGCCGGCTGTGACACCTTGATCAGGAAGGTTAAACTAAACACTTTATCTTTACAAACCTGACTACCATTGAGTAATAAAGAGTAATAAAATCTTTATAGTACAATGTACTCTTTAAGTACAACAAACGTCGACACTGAGGAAAATGAACAAAAGATCTTTGAGAAACTTAAAGAACTAATTCTATTACTAAATAAATTATAATAACTTTGAAAGTAGTAAAGTCTTCACATACCCTACGGCAGAGGTCATGGATGGATCCGGACCAACATGCTGGCTAATCCGGACCCAACCTGATTTAAAACATTAATAGATTACTGCATGTTGTCAAACGCCAGTGTCTAATTTCACTTGCGCTGCCTCTCCTGTTAACACAGTAAAGCCCTCCGGAGCATCCAGGGACAGGCTACACGTGATACAAATTAGCCAATGAGCTGCTGTCAGTCTGGGTTGCTGCTGCTGCCACTTTTAGAAACAGCAGGCAAACCTGTGGCATGCCGGGCGATGGAAAAGGAGAAGATGATGAGAAAAAGAGAGCAGAGAAAGTGTGGACTGCTGGAAGAACTGCAGTGAATTGGTGCCAGAAAAGTGAAATGGTGCTCAAAGATGACCCTGCACATTTTCAGTATGTCTGGCTCAACCTGCTGCTGTGAAGCAGGATTCTCCATCATGAACAGAATCAATAATAAATATGGATCCAGGCTCAAAATGAGCTCCTTGATATGAGCTTTAGAATGGCTTTGTCTCCATTCAAACCCAGGTTTAAAGCCTTGCAGGGCAGCATAAAGCCCACGGCTCTCATTAAAGCTGAAGTCTGTAAGTTTTTAAAAATCACTTTTTTGTTATATTGGCTAAAACTGTCCCTATGCCCAGACAGCAGTACATGTGATATGTAACCTGTGAAAAAAACTGCTTCAATTGGTACCGCCTACTGCCTGTATTTCAATCTGGAAAGAATAATTCGGGACGAATTATTCTGGTCGCATGCGGTAGCCGCGCAGATGCTGTGAGAGGGGTGGAGCTTGGAGGTGGGGCATGAGTGAAGCAGAGAGGGTGGGGGAGTGGCGTGAAACCTGTTTTTCTTCAAATTTTCAGTCGAAGTCTGCTCTCTTCTCAATGTTACAGACTGCAGCTATAAGCCATAAGAAAGAAAGAAAAGAAAAAAAAAACAGTTTAGGTGTTTTATGAAATATGTGAATAAGGAAATTGTTTATATACCAAACTGAACGATTGATGTTCTCTACTTAAAAACACACTTTAGATTTTAAAATTAAATTCTGTTTAAAGTAACAGATTATAATTAAAAATGTCTCCAGACCTTTACTGGTTGTTGATTTTCTTTAATTGGATCCTGATGATTTTTAATTGGTTCCCTCTGCCCTACACTCTACAGGTGTTCACATTTCTAAGCACCTTCAAAATGAAAGCAACAGCACTAAATATAAGAGGATCATCTACACCTTTATGTTTTCCCAATGTAATAAATGGCATAATTTATTCAATATTTAGTGTAATCTTTCAGCAATATCAAAAAGAAGAGATATAAATTATTTCAGGAGAGCACTTTTATGTCCAGCAGAGAAAAGGCAGGTGCTCTATAGTACCACCTAGTGTCTGTATGTCCACATCCCCACTCAGAAATGCTTAAACGCATTTTGTGTATTAAATAAGCAACTGAGAAACAGTTATGAGACACTTTATGTAATTCAAACCACCTCACAATCAGTATTTGATAGTGCTAGATAATTAAGAGGCATTATGTTATGATGAGGGGAATAAGTTTGTCTTTGTCCAGGGATATTACGAAACTTTGGTAATAAAATATTAAACACAATTCTAAGACAGATAAACACATTTTTAACTGAACTTTTTTTTCTTTTTATATTTTATTCAAAAACATCACTAAGGGAAAATCCCAAAGTTAAATTATGTAGATATCAAATATTATTCTGGTGAAGATTCCCAGTCATCCAGGTCATAGTAATTCCAAAAAAGTTAAAAACAATCCACTGGACTTTATTTTCTAAGTTTGAAGATGTTTCGCTTCGCAACCAGGGAAGCTTTTTTCAATTCCAAATGTCTGAAATAGTGTAGAGTTCCATGCTTTATAGAGTAGCCCAACAAAGCCTTGTTTTGGCTTAGAAAACATACAAAAAGCTTTGGAAACAAATATTCTAATTCATTTTTTTTTGTATTTCCGTGTATTTTCTGTTTATGGTTTTCAGACACTATTATACAATTTTAGAAACAAGAACGGGACTGAAACCAAGTGGAAAAACTTCAGAATGAAATTTTAAAACACCACTGTATAATTTTCTGAGACAACATGAAGAGCTCCTCCCACGGCTTCTCCCCCCCCAACAATACGGAGGCCGTCATCATACAAAATGGCTTCCCCAACAATCCAGCCACCTAGTGATGACGAGGTTTGTTTATATAGATCATTTTGTAAACAGCTTTTAATTAGTCTGTGTACGATTTAGATTTTATATAACTAACTCACCACCGTCACATTCAAGCATATTGGTGATCTCTACAGTCACTCGTTTGTCACCTCTGTGCTGCCGTAGCACAAATATTTTTGCTTCCATCAATGCGAAAGCTGCTCCTATGTAAATGATAATAGCAGTTTCTAAGGCAATGCAAACAAACAGAATGTGAGACTTTCAGTCGTTATAGGGTAATAAATAGCATGCTTATATATAATATATTACTTCAATGTCATTAAATTCCTGTCATGATTACACACTGTTGCTTTAAGACATACAGAAACAGACAAAAATAGTATTTTAACTGCAGAGGGTGGCAGAGAGACATAGAAAGTTCAGAAAGGGACACTTAAGGCCAACTTGATTCACTACAGACTTAAGTTTTATACTACTAGTCCAATTTTAACAATGTGTTAACTTTGAAATAAGTACAAAATAACATTTCAGAGGGACCCAGTCAGAACCCTGTATTTTTTCTCATGGAGAGCATGTGGAGGTGTCTATCTCCAGCTGTCTAACGGCGAGAGGCGGGGTCCACCCTGGACAGGTCCCCAGTCCATTGCAGAGCAACACAGAACAAACAACCATTCACACACACACTCACACCTAAAGAGAATTTAGAGAAGCCAATTAACCTAAGAGTCATGTTTCTGGACTGTGGGAGGAAGCCGGAGTACCCGGAGAGAACCCACGCATGCTCAGGGAGAACATGCAAACTCAACTGCAGAAAGAATCGTACTCAGACCCTTCTTGCTGCAATGCAGCAGTGCTACCCACTGCATCACTGAGCAACCTTCAGACCTACATACATGAGGCCATCCTATGTCCTCAGTTAGCTATCTTTTTTTGAGCATGAGAACTTTTATGTGGTGAGCTACGGTTTCAGACAGTCATTTAAGATTGTCTTTCTCACCGCAAGTCTTTGAAAATGGAGAAGGCTCATAATAGAAAAAGTGTCTATGAAGAGTATGAGAAGAAAATAAAGGCTTTAGAAGAGAGAAACAAGAGCAGAGTGTTTTTGGGAGATTCTTTCATGGGAGGGTGTTCACTAAAAGCACAGGTG